AGCACGTTCATAACATTTAGCTATTACCGATCAGGAATCAAATGGAGCGAACTAGTAGGTATCTATTTATTATGAAAAGCATGACAAATTATTGTTTTGAGGAAATTAATAACGGTTTTGTCCTCCCATCGAACCAGATCACCAGATACCCATCATGTTACTAGATCAGTACAATTGGATCAAAAGAGATTTTTTCCAATAAAATATGTAGGTACCAAAATGAAATCGTGCAACACGGTGTTCTCTTGATAAATACGTTGTTATTTGGTATTGAGAGATAACCCATCTAAATTATTCCAAGCATAGCTCGCGATCGCTGTGACGGTATAGCACTGTGGTGTGCACATGTCCACGGCGGCCGCGCGGCCTGTGAAGCGCCGCCTCGAAAGCCTTTCCGTGTTCCGCGCGACCCCGCGCCCCCCGCGCCCCCCGCGCCCGTCCGCACTGCTCGCCTACACCACCGAGCTGGAGGCGAAGAGACGGGCACAATTAAATCGATCGCTGATGAATTCTTCGGCTTGCTGGTTTGCCGCCCGTGCTTATCTATTGAATTTTGTTTGAATAATCGCCTCCCGTCTCGACGCTCGACGCGCGTCGCCGACAGTCGGTGTCCGCACACATTCCCGTTGCCACCGGTAGGTAGGTATACCACTCAGCCTATCTAATTATAACCTCATTAGGTACTAACTGCGTGTTACTCTATGTTATGTCACCTATAGAAGTTTATACTTCGTACGTAAACTTACGCTAGTGATTGTCGTCTTACGTGCACCTTCAATCCACTTGCAACATGTAGAAAACTGAAATGTATGGATAATTAATGGATGAAAATGACCTATTCTACACTTTTCACCACTCGCAAGCACTCGGACATGGCTACTAAAGACGTTGCTCGCCAATACTGGCGATGCATTAGTATAAATCCAACTGTAGGTACTTATTGTAAGTGACCAAGATTTATTTTTGAAAAAAGATTATGAAAACATTGTTAGCAATAAGAACAGTTCAAATAAGGCTTTCGGATATAATTAAACAACGAGAATTACTTTGTGTCCTACCTATAAGTCCTAACTAGGTATGTACACAGGTAGCCAGTCAATAATATTTTCAATCTCAACGAGTTTCGTTACAATGTTGTCCTCTTAACGCTTATATGTCACGTCTTTCGTAAAATTGCAAAAAGACGAAGTCAGTCGTAAAGTGAGCCCCGCCGATGATATCAGCCCCGCATTAGCCGGAGCCATCGTCGTCGGCTCTTGCGGGGCGCCCGCGGGGCGTGAGAGGTCCGGCGGGAGGGTTTACACGGCCTACTAATTGCCCCGGCGGTTGTCATCGAATTTTTTCCCGACACGCACCGGGAATGCTTTTATTCTGGCGACGGCGACCTGTTAATGTGTTAATCCACTTCGATCGGCTTGTTTCTCGGTTATAATAGCCAACAAACAAAGGCGTTCGTCCCGCTCTGGCGCCATGAGCTCGCCTTTGAGGCGACAGGGATGGCGCGCGTCCGCGGCGACGCGGCGCCCACGCTCGTGCCAGCGCATTATAATAACATTTGAATTATTAATAAGGAGCCGGCAGCCATTCAGTAGCCGTAGATTATGATCTGCTCGTTAATGCTTACCGCGCAAGTCCTTCGCCCTTTATCCTGGTCACTCGGGCGAAGTATCACCGTCGGGGCTGTAATCGTCCATTTTGGCTTTGCCATGACTCATTCGCAAGAGAATCATTACACAATAGGGAAGCGCCACGTCACCTCTTACAACTTGTTACACAAAAACTGTACACAAAAGAATTCTTGAGCAAAACATTCCTCTCGTAGCAACCCAAGGCACTGCCGCGGTGACGCTCCCTCATCGTCTTGCAGAATTATTGATAGGTACCCATTGACCTACCAACAAATAGGTAGGTACCGCATAAAATAGCATATCGGTTCACCGATAACAATGTGTTAATATGGTCGATTATTTGCAACATGATGTTCAGCTCGAATAAAACGTGATGTTTATTCAAAGTTTCAACGACCCGTAGGCTTGAAAGTTTCGTGAGGTTGTGACCAACTGCTTACTAGAAAACAAGTTATAGGCACTCAGGACGTAGACAAGGAGTTCAAAGCACAACTGAGATTGCGAAACTGGCCTAAATAAGTGTCGTTTTCCCAGCGGTTGCGAGTGGCCTAATTAATTACCCTCGTGGTACAAAAAACCCCGCGGCTTGTCGCGCTAAGAGCCACGGCGCCGGCGCAGGGCGCGCCCGCGGGGGTTGCGGTGCGAGGCGCGGGGTAGAGCGCTAATGCAGGCGCCACTCGATAAGCCGCCGCATGGGAAACTGTCTCCACGTCGAATGTCCCTACATCATTAACATAATCATTTCGATGGGCCTCTTGCACGGCCTCGGCGTTAACACGCGGAGCCACTTCACCCGTAGGTACACTTGCCGAGTTGATCCGCCGCCTCTAGCCAAACTAGATACTCTAACATAAGAGCGTTGTAGCTCGGTAGCGGCAGCGCTGGCGACTTTACTCAGACATTAGCGTTTATGGAGCCGGCGTCGATGCGGACGATAATAAAATAAAGTTATCGCAGCTCGCTTTTCATTGGCGCTGAGCCCTTCTATTAATGTGCAGCTGAAGGTAATCTCCGATTCGAGATTTCCAAATTACATGCGGCCGCCCGTACTCTACTAAAATACCTTCACAACTGGTTTATCGCAACAATGACATAATGCTATCAATTGAATGAATCATCGCTAATAATAAATACCGCTTCTTTTACGACGATGTAGCGAAGACGCAGGACTACCTACCTACAATCGTATTACGAAGAGGTCGGGTTCAATGCCCTTGGCGGCGGCCAACTTGGCGGTCTCATCGGTAACAAGGAGCAATGAAAAGCGCCATTCGAACTGGATAGACTTGATCTCGAGTAGGTACAAAGTAGGCAATGCATTCGTGTCGCAGGCTGTACTCAACAATTGTATTTATACACTCTATCAGCACTCAAATCTTACGTTGAACAAAATTCTACAGTTATTGAACGTATTTTCCTTTCACCTATTTAGCAAAATTGAAGAGGAGATAGACTACCAAACACAATTTGAGTAAGCATATCAAGGACAATTATCTCAACTGTGCTACCCACGTGCTACCATGCGACGAATGAATTTACATGGAATTTACCTATAGATTTTCGTTTGTGATTTCGTGTTGAGTAAATACCACTTTTGTCGCCACGATTCGAACTACGCTGTGGCACTTACTCAAAATTAGTTACTAATTCGCTTCCATCACCGTTTTGTTTAGTGTGCTCTATCGTTGCCGTCGTTACATGCGTTACAAAGCTTTCCATGTTCCATCTAGTCGTACGAACCACCTACGACCTGAAGGAAATCGTCTCACACTTTACAACTACCTACATATGTAGGTGCAACTTGCCTGTCAGCATACATAACATTATCTTTTTTGCTCATCCGAGGCGTGCATTTAGGTGAGCGACTTATTTGAGGTATTAGCCCTCCTTCATCTGTTACCTAATGTTAATCATAACTTTGTTAATTCATTTATAAACTTATTCTTATTACATTTGAAAATTGTGTATATTTTTGTCCATTTCATTGTAATTGTAATATAAAGTATCTAATTAATTTAGATTGACTACATTGCAAGCTGTATTCGAAATTCTATTACAGTTTTTATATACATGTCACACTACAAATTAAACTCATGTATAATAATCTCAGTACAGAGTACCTACCTACTAAAAAAACCAAACTCAAAAGTACGTGGTATTAAATCTATTTGCCAAGTTTTTTTGAAATCGGTTACCGGAAAGTGCGCGAACTCGGATTTATCCCCTAGTTCGCCACTGTACGGAACTTGACACAGGAGATAACAAAAATCGGTTTCTCTCTCAAAGTATATTGAAAGAGAAAAACGCCTTGAACTAGAGAATAGCAAAATCAACCATTAAAATAATTGCTCCTTATAATAAAATTTAGGCGCTATTTATAAAAATGAATCTTCATGCGTGAACAGCCACTCTTAGAGGTGGATGATTTTCTTCAAAATTAAATGGGACCTCTATGGAGGCACCCTCTTTCTAACAAAAAAGAATCATGAAAATCGGTGCACAAGTACCGGAGTTATCGCGTAACATACATACAAAAAAACGTACAGTCGAATTGAGAACCTCCTCCTTTTTTTGAAGTCCAATATTGCTTGACTAAAATTTTAACTGCTAAACGTATGCTGTTGAACGCCCTATAAAAAAATGTTAACTTACTCGATTGCTGCGGCAAAACCTAAACGAATGTGCTATTAGTGAGATTGCGGTGCACCGACCTTGCTCTTTACTGTGCACGATACGTACCTACCTATGTAGTTTAATCTTACTCTAATACACAATACCTCATTCACGTAAACAGCAAAATTTTGCCGTTGCACTGTGAGTGGGCCATTCGCTATTATTGCAACACTTCTTACAATTTAGATAACTACACTGAGACATACTTATCACTTTGCGCGTGCAAAACCGAAGCGCACAGCAAAACAGAACGCCAAGTTCTACTCACAGCATTGAATAGGTATTTAGGTGCGCCTGGAAGGTACAGTGACTGAAAGATCAGATGGACAGGTTTTAGAAGCCAGAAATGGCACGGGGCGCGGGGCGCGGGGCGCGGGCGCGGTCTCGACGCGGACGATCGATCGGGAGCAGTAAAATGCAAATGCGCGCGCGGACAGATGTCGCGCATGTCGGACAAGATGTCCAGATACCGCGCCGCTGCCGCTGTTGCACCGATGTGACGCCATTGTCACCCCAGCCCTCGCGTCCCGCACTCACTTCCAGTACTTTACGTCATCGGTGTGATGTAATCATCTCCAACGAAGGAAAGCGTGATATTTACCTACAAGTACGAGAATGTTAAATTGAAGCTTGCCATCAATTTCATCAGTAGGTACCTACTGTTCAAATTCGGCCACGCCTATGCGGGTCAAATGGATTCTCCTTCACACAATTGTAACTGACAGTTCACATAAATTGTTTAGTCATGTTCATTTTAGTTACCGTCGATCGGCGCGCGCATGATATAAACTGAACATTGACCGTTTTACGTCATAGTTAATAGTTACCACAGCGCGCATTGGCTTGACCGACGGCGGCAAAAATCTTTATCTCGGTTTAGAGCTAATAATAGCGATATTGTACTGCCATTACGCCAGAAGGATAAACTGAAAGGAAAAACAAACGATTAAGCTATTAAAATTCGAAGAGCAGTTTTCATTTTATAGCAAAACACTACACGAACCGTTTAGTGAATAACTCTCATTTTCGAGTGCGTGAAAGCGCCCTAAGAACGACTCCCACTCGCATTGATTTTACGAACGCTATTGCCATAAAAAAGCACTGAGCGTAATTTAAATGCCTCGGTCGAATAAATCTATAGGCTCGACGTGTAGGTGACTAGCTATCACGTTATGTGCCCGACGTAATTACCCAGCGGCCGTGCGCCGTGGCGGCGCGGCGGCGGCGGCGTTGCGGCGGCGCTACTGTCTGCTATAAATTTGAGTGCACATTAAAGTTTCTCTACCGCGTAGAGTCTACGTGTATACATATCGCGACGACGGATCGAAGTTCATTAATTTGGGAGGACATGTGCGGGGCGCGGGGCGCGGGCGGTGGGCCGGGCCTGCCCAGGGCGGGGCGCAGGCTTCGCCACGCGCCCGCGCACGCCCCGCCCCGCCCGCCGCTCGCTTGAACCTCTTTCGACGTTAACTTATGCGTTTCACGTCCGAGGTTGAAGCCCCATTCGCGTTTGTCTTTTGTTTATGCCCCGCACTCGGCCTAAGTGTGTGAATGTACACACGGATAGAAAACGACTGTTAATTCTATACTGAACAGGAGCAATACTTACGCCCTATTTTTTTTTGTTTATTTGGAGAAGCAAAAGTTACATATTCAATGAATGATATTTATTTATTTATTAGATGTACAAAACAGTTTACGTTCGCTCAACACTCACTTAACACATACACATAACAACATTCACAAGAGCTTAAACATTACTACTACTTAGTTCTACTCTAGAATGTAAACCTAAACATGTATCTACATACATCATGACCAATCATGAGTAAACAATTTTGTTTGAAATATAAATTGTTTGTTAATTAATATAAAATACTCAGGCATATATAAAACTGCAACCTTAAGTGAAATAGAATTACTATGACTACAACCATGAAAGAGAGAAACCATGGTGGTTGTGGTCGATTGCGAAGTCTTTTACATTAACATCAAATATATCCATCCCTAAATCATCGCCAGGGTCAGCCGTAAGGTCGTTGTAGGCCCGACACATTCTCGTCAAAGGGTTGTAAAAAGAAGTATTATTAGTATAAACATTCAATACGAATGGTCTAGGAAGGCGTCGTGGATTGCACTTGATGTTAAAATTAATATGGGACAGAAGCGTTGACGATTTAAGGCTGCCGTGAAGTAATTTATTTAAAATGTGGAAGATCCTGTACCCTACGCCTAGAATTTAAGGACCTAACCTTAAAATGTGATAACCTCTCTTCGTAACGCGACAATTTGCGACTCATGTGTGATCTGTAACTCACTATTTTGGGAGCTCTGTTCTGTACGCCTTCCAAACGTTTAGAGTGAACCTCGTAGAAAGGTGACCATACGACACAGGCACACTCAAGAGTGCTTCTAATTAAGCTATTAAACAGTGCAATAAGGGTCTTGGGGTTTTTAAATTCTTTAGTAGTTCTAGTATAGTAGATAGTATAGTAGATATATATAACAAAGGTAAGAAACAGTCTACCTATCATATATAGGTTCTGTAAACGTGTCTTATTTCCTTCGAACTAAAGAAAATATTCCTAATTTGGATTTTGCATAGCACACCTATATAGTAAATAAGAAACAGTCTACCTATCATATATAGGTTCTGTAAACGTGTCTTATTTCCTTCGAACTAAAGAAAATATTTCTAATTTGGACGTATAAAGTACCTAGGCAATGTTAGAAACTTACATTAGAAGGCATTCACTAAATCATGTACCTGCTATTAATAACACAACTTACCTTTGGTGCCGTTCCACATTTTGAAACTTCTATTTCACAAATTGTTGCGCCCGTGCGCCGTGGAACAATGCAAACATATTATTGTTGTATTTTGAGTACAACGGTTTGAAAATCAGATCACGCCACTCGGTTCGGATTGGTCGGGGTTATGGGGTGCCGCAAACGTCTCTCCCAACGGCCATAATAATCATAATTATTTGTTATTTTATAATTTATTTCATTGTGATATGTCATGGCGCTCGGCCATTCAACGACACGATTCAATAGCTACGCATTTGGTTCACAATAATTGAATAAACACAAAAAATAAACCGCCGCAAAAACCACTTTAATAGTAGGTACCTATTTCGTTAAGATAAAGTTTGTATGTAGGTACCAAGTAAGTAGTAAGTATTAAGTATAGTGAGTATTGTTTTCGCAGAACCGTTTGCGCCGTGCGGTTTACCAAACCGCAACTTTGGTGGCAAGCAATAATAGACCTACGTTTATAACTATAAGATGTAATTTAACAATATAAGTATCTAAAAACCAAAACCAAAATATAATAGGTAGAGTAAGTTAGCTAAATTGGACTACCATATCGATTTCATCAAATATTTAAAACACAAAATGTTAAAATAGGAAATGAAACTATTTTTAACCGACTTCAAAAAGCGGAGGAGGTTGTCAATTCGTCTGTACGTTTTTTTTGTATGTATGTTACGCGATAACTGTGCCATTTGTGATCCAATTTTGATGATTCTTTTTTTGTTGGAAAGAAGATACATCAGGTGTGGTCCCATTTAAATTTCAAGAAAATATTCCACCTCTAAGAGTGGCATACTAGGGGATGAATGACTTTTGAGGTCGTTTTTTTTTAACCGAAGGTTAGTTTATTCCGGATTTAAATCGCGTATATTTGTTTTTTCAAACAAACCGACATTTCGGGCCCTTTACAGGCCCCATGGTCACGGTTAACTGAGGTGGTACAGTTATCAACCAGTTACCTCTAATATTAATGCAAACCACCCTATTTTTTCACTATACTTACAAAAGTTATTAATTAAATAGCTTATTTTTAATTTTACAAAGAAACATTCCAATTTACGCTACGTTACGTTTTACAAATTATTTGGTCTGCTAGTAATTTTAATGTTTTTTATATATAACATTTGTATAAGACTGTATGTTTTTACTAAATAAATTAAAAAATAATAATATTTTATTGAATGATTTTTTATTAAGTTCAATTTATTGTTAATTAATAATAGAAATTAGAATAAATTAAAACATATGCTGCAGTCTTGTTTGTTTTCATCAGAGGAAATACTGGATCCCAAACAGGGGGTACAGAGAAACCATTTTCCCTGTTGAAATTAGGATGTTTTTTAATTTCAATGGCCTCACGCAGCATCCTGGGTAGATAACTAAAGATAAAAAAAATTTGCAAGGACCAGGGGTTTGTCAAACTCCCTTGAATGTGGAGGTTTATCTATGACGTGCTCGCAAACTGCAGACTTTTGTCCAATATAAGAGAGACCGCACTCACAGTCAACCTTGTAAACTCCTGCATCCTGAAAGGGGACGTTACATTTCACGTGTCTCAGAAACTCAGAAATCTTTCTCCGGGGCTTGAAATAGGTCTTGATAGATGCACGCCTGAGGACTCTTCCGATTTTGTCTGTAACACCTCTCACGTAAGGTAAAATGGCAGGTGTTTGCTCCACTGTTGGTGGTTTCACACGGGGCCGATTTCAATCCGGAAAAATAGTTTCATTTCCTATGTGTAACAATCGCGAAAACCTAACAACTCGATACAAAATTTTAAATATAAAAAATGTAGGTAGTTGACATCGATCAGTTTAGAAACTATCTAGTAATCACATCCAATAATAAAAATGCTTTATAGAAACAAATTCTTCCACAATATCGTTGTTTTATTTTTTTATTTTTTACGTTTTCTTAGTTTATTTAATACGGACCGGGTGGTGCGCAATATGGACTTTAATAATTTTAGTACGATTTACTCAATTTTGTTAACTCTGTTTAAGTAATTAGTCTTAAAACTTTAACAAAAATTTAAATTCGAAATTCCCTCCCTTAAATAGGCACTATTAATTTTTTTGCAATATTCGCACAATAATGAAGTACAATCCTATGCCAGCAAAATCGTCACGTGCCCATCGCTTATAAGAAGGGCACTTATCTACGTATCCATTACTTCCCACGAGTACCTAATCTCCGAAAGGAGACCATTGCAATACAAACATTTAGCGTTATCATTCTCACTTCGGTCAGGTATTGATGATAAATTAACTGAAGGAAGGAAGGATCAGCGAATAACTTTGTCTCATTCGATCGGTAGGAAACTTGAGAAACTTAATAAATATAAAATAGATAATACTAACTATAATAAAAAAAATAAGAATAGAAATAATAATAACGCACACACTCAACATAGCCCCGAACTAGGGAGAACCCTGTGTCGCGGGTGCCATGGACATAGACATAGACAACAACAAATTGCACCCAAACTCACGAAAGAAATAAATGTAGGCCATATAAATATTTCTCCCGGCCCGGGAATCGAACCTGGGACCTCTGCGTGGCAGTCCGACGTGGTAACCGTTCGGCCAAGGAGGCAGTAAATATGTTTCGCACCTGTAACTCTTGTTCAAGAAATTATTAGATGTATATAGGTACCAGTAGTCCTTATTGTATTCAGCCCTCATAATATGGACCACTAGACCATAATTGAAATCTCGCTCGCATGTTGGTCCATGATACTAACTAGTCTAAACATTTTTGGCTAAACATTTTTCAAAAGTTATAGAAAATATCGTGCGGTTACATATTACCGAAATCCAGGAAAATTGCCAACTAAATCATATTTCTAAAATATGGAGAATGAAGCATGATCACGTGTAATTAAAGTACTAATCTCACCGAAAACGTACTAAGGCATACAAAATGTGCCTGAAAATTCAAAATTGATTTGATTCTATTACAAACACAAATGTATATGATGTAGTTTCATTAAAATCGCCTCGTGGCGCCAGACCAAAGAAAGTAGCCAACTTTACTACGATAGCATCGACATCTTTCGTAATATTAATATGGTCCACATTATGTGACTAGTTCATATTTACAAAATTTA